TATCTCCAGTCGCCACTATCTAATAAATTCAATAAATTGTGGCAGGTGGATGGCTAGATAGTTATGTAGATAGATATGGATATACAGTAGCTAAATAAACTTTAGTAGGTGGATAGATAGATTAACATGGATATACCAAATAAATTAGGTTGATGAGTGATGCCCATGTAAACAATATGTAATTAAATTTTGGTATTTCTTTACCCAAGCCTGGCGCACGTGTAAACATTAATCCATGTCTGCAGCCAAACTTGAACTTCTTGAAATGCATAGTGGATACAGGTACGGCAGCCGTATTGTTGCTAATGGTTAGGTTAGGTTTGGTTAGGTTTGGTGCCATTTAAATACAAGAAGCTAAGAAAATAAGGAGTCTGCAATAGGCCGGTTGGCCTGTGCATGGCAGCTCCTGTCGAGAGTTACTACCACTCTCTATCATCCATGAATCTATCTAGCCTTCTTTTGAAACTTTCCAGAGTTCCCGCACTTACTACAAAGTTGCTAAGCTTGTTCCACTCGTCCACCATCCTATTTGTGAACCAGTTTCTTCCTATCTCCCTCCTAAACCTAAACTTATCCAACTTGAATCCGTTGCTCCGAGTCCTATCCTGCTCGGATATTATTAGAACTTTATCTATATCTCCTTTATTGATTCCTTTCACCCACTTAAATACTTCTATCATATCTCCCCGCACTCTTCGTCTTTCTAGGGAATGCAAGTTAAGTTTCTTTAGCCTATCCTGATATGGAAGGTTTCTAAGTCTCGGAATCATTTTTGTCATTCTTCGCTGCACCGACTCTAGTGAATTTATATCCATTCTATAATAGGGGCACCAGAACTGAACCGCATAATCGAGGTGTGGCCTGACTAGCGCAAGATATAGTTGCAATAAGACCTCTGCACTCTTGTTATTACACTTCTAGATATAAAACCCAATACTCTGTTTGCCTTATTTCGAACATTAACGCACTGTTTTCTAGGCCGTAGGTCCGGGCTTACAAGTACCCCTAGGTCTCTTTCACAAGTCGACTTCTCTAGGTTGATGTTGTTAAGGCTGTATACATTATAAGTATTTGTTCTTCCAATATTAAGTACGCTGCACTTGCTGGTGTTGAATTTCATTTGCCATTTTTCAGACCACCCCTGCAGTTTATTTAGATACTCCTGTAATGCATTTGCATCCTGCCCTGAATTAATTTGCCGCCCTATTTTGGTGTCATCCGCAAACTTGCTTATGTCACTGCTGATCCCAGTATCTAGATCGTTTATGTAGATTATGAACAAGAGTGGGCCTAGTACTGATCCCTGGGGAACCCCACTGGTTACACGGCCCCACTCAGATTTAACACCATCTACGCTGACCCTCTGCGTTCTATCGGTGAGCCATGATTTTATCCAATTTAAAACTTTCCCCTCGATACCATGAGCCTTAATTTTTCTCAGAAGCCTCTGATGCGGTACTCTGTCAAATGCTTTGCTAAAGTTTAAGTAAATAACATCGTAATTTTCGTCATTATCTACTACCTCGAAGACTTTCCTAAAAAACGTCAGCAGATTTGTTAGAAAAGATTTTCCCTTTGTAAACCCATGTTGAGAGTCGTAGATTAATTTGCTTTTCTCTAGATGCGATCGGATGCTATCTGCTATAATTGATTCAAGAAATTTCCCCACTTCTGACGTCAAACTGATCGGCCGGTAATTTGACGCTGATGCTCTGTCTCCCTTTTTGAATATGGGTACTGCATTTGCCTGTTTCCACAAGTCTGGCACAACTCCGGTGTCTAATGATTTTGTAAATTAGTTTACGAGAGGTCCGCTAATCTGTTCCCTACACTCTTTCAAGACTCGAGGGAAAATTTCATCCGGCCCTGTTATCTAATACGGGTACGAGGTAAAAAAAACAATAGAATAAAAAACGAATATTAACCGAGCGACCTAACCTAACCTAACCTGCCATAGAAGAAAATCGATTTCTAACTAAAAATTGTGGTGAAATGGTAAAAAAAATTCAAAATACCTATTGGGTTAAAAACGAATATTAACCCATTACTACAGTACTATATCATACCAACCTCCATTGTTGAAAAGATTCATTTCAGCATTATGTGTTTCAGAATCAGATATCCTCTCCAAGCAGCTGATAGATGTATATCAGGTGTGGCATCTCCATGGAACCGGTGAATTTTGACTGGATCACAATCCAATGATTCATATTATAGTTTTCGAACTTTTCTGTTCACTACTAAAATGTTGTTCACGTATCACTGCATTCATCAAATTAAGTATGCTCTTCGACAATGTTGCACCTAAATATTCTTTTTTTTCTTTTTTTTTAAGAATATTTTGTAATACCGTCTCTCCCTGGAGTATACCCAAACCACTGATCTCGAAAAACAAGACTGGATCGAGCTGGATTACTTAGAAAGTGCAGCCAGGTTGAAATATTGGCGGCCATAATGGATGAAACCAAAACGTAAACAAAGCTGCGGAGATCACTGTAGCCCTTGTATTGGAGAATATCTGAATAACTAATGACAGCAGAGGTTTAAAAAAGGTTTCACATGTATGTTTGGCCAAGTTAAGCTCAGATACATAATTGCTACACACATTAGATAATACATACTTATGTTACATTCAGGGTAAGCTTTGGGTCCATCCAATATGGCGCTGCCCAAATTTTGTTGGCTGCAACTTTGCGCACTGGAGAACAATGGCTTGTTCGATCACGTCTTTTTTGTCGAGATCAGTGACCAAAACACGCACACTTGCTCCCCCCATCAATTGGTTATTATTATTTAAAAAAAAAATTCTTGGAGCAATTCTAAGTTCTAGTTTCAGTTATAATCACCTGATTAAAAAGATATATAGATTTGCACTAAAATTAACTGTTTTTCGCTGTTTTACCTGCATATTTGTTTACCGTTGCCACTATTTACATACAAGGGCGTACACTGACGTGTTCGGGGTGTTCCAGTACTCTACTCGGCCGGCCGTTTGTTTACCTGTTGAATATTGAGACCAAAGACTATAATAAGACAAGAAAGCATTTGCCAGAGCTACGATCACCGCCATCTGTTGGAACGAGGCCCGGGGCGCGTGAAGGCAGCGTACCCATGTTTCCCTGATAACCAGCAGAGTGAGCTTGCGTTTCAGGTTTTCACGTTGTTATCATTGATCATATAGAATTTACTGTGTAATATTTTATATGTGTGTAATATGTGTGTGTGTGCATGTGTACACATTAAGAACGTCAAGGCAAAGACGTCAAGGTAATATTACCTTGACATTCTTAACGGTTTTTTTTTTTTTTTTACGGAATTAGCCCACCCGGCACAGGTCACCGACCACATCGGGGCCGGGAATAATAATAATAATAATAATAATAATAATAATAATAATAATAATACATGTAATAATAATAGTAATTCATCGTAAATAAAATTTATAATAAAAATACAAAATTACAAATACATTAATAATAATTCATAGTAAATAAAATTTATTATAAAAATAAAATAATAAAATAATAATAATAATAATAATAATAATAATAATAATAATAATAATAATAATAAAGAAATACAAAAATTAAAAAAATTAAATAAAATAAATAGTGAGAAACAATATATGTATGTTGTGTTGTCAAAATAAGAGAAACAATTGAGACCCTGCAATTGTGTGTAAATGAGGCAGAAAGTTGGATCAGCAACCTGGGACTTGGTCACAATTTTTGTGATGCCACACACACACACACACACGTAACGATCTTCAAGAGTGAAGTGCTTCCCCATCTGGAGTACTGTCACCCCGTCTGGTCCCCGAGATATGCTAGGGACTGTCAGTTGGTTGAAAATGTTCAAAGGAGGGCCACCAGACTGGTGCCTGCACTTCGGCACCTCAGCTACCCGAGAGATTGGAGCGCCTGAACTTGCCCAGCTTATACTACAGACGGGCAAGGGGTGACGAGGTGTATAAGCATCTCAGGGGGCACTACTCAGTCCAGTGACCTTGCTTGAAGCAGGAGCACGCTCGCCCCATAAGGGGTCACAGCTCAAGATTGAAGAAGCCGCAAGTCCAGAAAACTGTGAGGGCAAACTTTTTCGGAGTGAGGGTTGTGAACTTTTGGAACAATCTACCAGAATGAGTTGTGACGGCACCGAGTGTGAGCTCATTCAAGGCCAGACTTGACCAACACTGGAGCAGGTTCAGGTACATTCAGGAGCTGTTGCATGCCCAGTACTTGCCAACAGTTCGTATCAGAGACGTGACCGATCGCCCAAGCGGCTAACAAGTCGATCATTTGGTGAAGAGGATAAAAGAAAAAAGTAAAAAGGAAAGCATGAAACACAAGCTCAGGACGACCTGTTTTTGTACGTGTACATACGGGGGGGGGGTGGTATTAGGTCTTCTGGGGGGGTATACAGGGTTTCCACGTCTATTTACAGTATACCAGACTGGGACATATGTGAAATTTGTTTAGTTGAAGGAGCACGTTTCTGTCTTTGTATTCGAAGGTATGCTTTATAATTTCCATGTATATATATATATATATATATATATATATATATATATATATATATATATATATATATATATATATATATAACTTGAGAACTTTGAACGTGTATAGCAGATGATTCACCTGGCCAGCATAGCAGTACATTAAAAGTACTTTCATGGCTCACAACAGACTTTAAATTCTTCTGAAAATGCGCTATTTCAGCCACAGTTGCATCAGCTTCACACTATATTATACCAAAAAATTATCATTTAATTCCTTTATATACTTTTACAATAATTTACCATCTGTCAGTTGGTGAAGAAGCAGTGGTGAGAATTTATCAATTCATTCCATAATCTATGGGTTTCAAGGATGATTAACATCCAAATATAATGTAATTTCCTAAGACTATAAATAATTTAATTACTGTATAATATTACATGATATTGTTTAATAATATAAGAGTAGTTGTATGTGGATTGCCTCAGCCAGCTGGGAGGATGTTATATGTGTTGGTCCGTTACCGTCCATAGTCCTGTGCTCGGCTGTGACGACACGCGTGAGACGTCTGACACCTGAACACATTATTTCCCTCCCAAGATGAAGGTGGTTGCTTCTAAAACGGACCCCCCTCTCGGTTAGTTACTGATTAGTGTATGATTAACACGGTGATGTGAAAAACCGACAATGTGTTGGCACCCTGAATGAAATATAAGTCATCATATGTTAGTCATCAGGCTTCAGCCGTCGCCCCAGCGTTTACAACGTGAAAGTTTCGTCTATTAATAGCTTGCTGATTTTAAAAGCATATGTATTCATTTAAAATCTAAAGTCTGGTTCCAAATAGAATGTCTCTGATTTCATTTTATTTTTTATTTAAGCGATAGTTCAGGATTAATTGGTCCCACTCGCTGAAGGTTCATGGGAGGCGTCGCCACTTTATAGATTGTGTTGTTTATGATAACCGTTTTTATTATTGATGACATTGACTAATAAGTTAGTTTGTTACAGTTCAGATATAGCTGTGTAGGCTTATTAATGGTAAATATTAAGACACATTCAGCACTTTAACTGCCTGCAGTACAACGTATTAGCATAGTTCATAAATGCTTATATTATGAAAATTATGAAAACTGCACAAGAAATGCATTTTGTGTAAATCACTTTGGGGTAATTTATGAAAACACCTCTACTACCAAGAATTGTTGTTCGATTTCGTTCATTTATTTTTTCCACAGGAAGTAAAGGGTCAATTTGTAGTTTTGACCAACCACTGCTCTCTAGTTGAGTAATTTGTGTTTCTGATGGTTTAAACAATTTTAAGACACTTTTCTTCAATGACTTTTCCATCACAAATGACCTAAAATTACCTAACCTAACCTACTATCCAGGGGGTTGCACCCCATTGGATTCCGCGGTATATTTAGGTCATTTATGAGGGAAATGTCGGTAAATTTTTACTTTAGGACATGAGTCCCTAGGGGTTGACCAATATGTTTTTCCATTGTATTTTGGTGTGTTTTAAACGAATCTGACCTTAATTTTTGGCGGAAATTGCTCGTTTTTGCCCCCAATTAATAATGGGGGAGTGCCTGAAAAATCTAGGTTTTTGGGTGGGGGAGAAAACGAGTCATCTGACCTAACATAATCTAACCTTTATCATAAAATGAACCAAATTATCTAATTAACTTAATCTAATCTGAAATACTACACATACCAAACCAAAACAGTACAGTCCGTCGAATATCATTTGGCAATGTCAGCTGCATCTGTAACTGAAGCACAAAAAAAAACTCATAAAATTATATACAAACTGTATTGCTCTTGTATTATGCATTGATTTCATGAATTAAGAAAGCATATCTATGGTTGAAATGTAGTGCCGCAGGTGGTTAATATTAAAGGACAAGGGTTTGGGTTAAACAGCTACCTAACAAAAAGTCTGTAGAAGAAAACTAATTAAGATTAAATCAGGTAAGATGGAGCAAATACACTTTTCATATTTATATTTTGTACGGTACATTATTGAACTGTTCCAGAGTAGGGTTGCCATATCTGAACATTAAAAAAAAAGGACGTTCCCGAAAACATCCTGCCCCCCGCCCGGCACACACTTTGGCGCTATGTAACCTTGAAGCAGCCGTGACAATTAATTTTGCATATTTGCATAGCACATATATATATATATATATATATATATATATATATATATATATATATATATATATATATATATATATATATATATATATATATATATATATATATATATATATATATATATATATATACATACACACACACACACACCAGTATCGGTGTACTGTATTGCATTGTGTTTTTAATGTAGGCTAATATACAACATACATGGTATAGAAATCTTAAAAAAAAAAAAATTACCTTTCCTTAAGGCTGAATATCTTCATTCCCTTAGCTGCAGTCTTCTTCCCCCCACTGTGTGTGTGACTTGATGTGCCCATGCATACTTTTCTGTAGATCGGATCTTTTTCAGTATTGGCTGATTGCTCTTTAGAAAGGTATAGAAGTCAAGCAAGATGTTTCTCTGAAGTTGTACTGTACAGTCATAATGCCTTTCATTGTTTCAAAACTCAATTTGTTCCTTTCCTTTTTTCCAATGACTTTGCATCAATGAAAATACTCTTTCTACATTTGCATTGTGAGATGATATAGCAAAGAAGAATTGTGCAATTCTTAGCAATTCTGAGTGGCATTAAATGTTCTTTGATTTTTCAAAGTATCTGGTCCACTTTTTATGTGTTGGCAGATTACTAAATTCTTCATCACTTGTAGTTTTCCACAAACTGCTTCAGGTTACTAACTTGGTCAAAACACTTCATCAACTTCTACCCCCTTATCAATCAAATATTTGACAGCTAAGTTGACAACACCGTACAGGCGTACACGTGACTTATCAGCTGACGAAAACCGAACGAGATCTCTACGGTTTCCACCTCCCCTCTCTCACAGTCTCACTCTCTCGTCATTACAGTTTCATGTTTTTTTTCCTTGGAGAAAATGATGGAAGCTGAAATTCCGGATTTTTTAAGAATTTTAAAAATTACTTCCGGATGAAGATTTCGAGACTTAAATGGAGGACATGTCCGGGAAAATACGGACGTATGGCAACCCTATTCCAGAGTATTACCTGGTATTCAGCATTTAGCTTACTCCAGAAAAATTATTTTACTTACTCCTGCGAAATGGTAGGCAGGTTATGGCATCCCAGTTATTAGTGTCTCAATGAATTAACAAAGATAAGCCTCTTAAGGCTTTATTGGCTATCCTTGGTCCAATTGTCAGTTATACTTAAGGACAAGGGTGTGGGTTATGCTGCTACCTAACAGAAAATATCTAAAGAAGAAAACTTATTTTTTCCCTCAGGAATAAAGCAAATCGGGTGGAGGAATAGCACTTTTTTTCTGTGAAGCAGATCCTCTATACCAGTGGTTCGCAACCTTGTTTGCCCCATGCACCCCTTTCACCATATGTCAGAATGTCATTCCCCCCTCCTTTCCAAGATTGTCTGCCTCAAAAAGTACATTCCAAATACTATGCATATAATACTGAAAATCCTTTATTTTTTCCATATTAGTATCAGTTTCCCCCCCCCCCGAAAACCTGAGGGGGGAAATTCCCCCCTGGTTGAGAACCCCTGCTCTATACACTGGATTTCAATACTGTATATCAGAATTCGATTTTTAGACTGATGTACTCTGGACCGCCTCTCTATTTACCAGGTCGTAGGCATCTATCAAACAGGGAGGTACTACCGCCTGGGAAGATTTTGGAAGCATAATGTGTTGTCTAATGTTGACCCTGCTGCCGTTTGGCATCACAAAAATTGTGACCAATGTCCCAGGTTGCTGATCTGCCTTTATGCCTCATTTACTCACAGTTGCAGGGTCTCAATTGTTTTTGTCATTTTGACAACACAACATAGATACAGTACATCGTTTGTTACTATTGATCTTTTTTTTTTTAGTTTTGGTATTTTTAATATTTTATAATTATTGTAATTTATTTTTATTATTTTTATATTGTATTAGATTTTGTTAGTTATTATTATTATTATTATTTTTATTATTATTATTATAATAGTAATAATAATAATAATAATAATAATAATAATAATAATAATAATAATAATAATAATAATAATATTTTCGCGCCCCAGGCCTTGATGTGGGTCATTAACGCGTGCCCGGATGGACTTATCCCCTTAAAAAAAAAGGGAAAAAAAAAGATGTTTCGGAAAAAGGAAAATCAATTATCATTCTGGAGGGCTTGTGTTTTCGTATGTGTGGTTAAATGTTTGTGTGTGTGTGTCATGCGTCATGAGCCTCAGTCTTGAGCCTGCCTTCATATGTACAGTTCTGTAGTATTGTATCAGTGTTCTGCTCCTTGCTACCAACACTCATTTACATGAACTTATTTTTATTTATTTATTTATTTTTTCATCATATTTGCCACTTATCTGCTCACTAGCCGTTTGGGCGGTTTATCCAGTGTTAGTACAGGAGGAAACCGGGGACCGGGAACCCTGTGGTGTTTGGTAGTGAGGGTCACACCGGATTATACCCTTCTCGTGTGTGTCCGGGGCGAGGCTCGAACCCTTGACATATTGGTGAGAGTGATGCGCGTTACCGCAACTTATAAAGGTATACTTGAGGGTTTAAAAAAAATGGTAAAATTAGGTAATGTCTGGTATGTTAAGAAATGGGTAAAATTATGTAGAATTCTTATTTTAAGACATCGGCAAAATTTTACAAAATGCTTATGAAAAAGACTTGCTCACTGATTATTGTACTACATTGGTCTAATTGGATACATATTCTGTGTGCCTAACAAAAGCTACTGTACTAAGTACGAGAGCCAAGACGCTGCGTGTGTAAGCAAGTTGAAGATTGCTGCATTCATGCCTCTTATGGTGTATAGGTCATCATAATTAATATAATATCTTCAATAACAGAAAAAAGTACAATATTAAATTTGTAACTTCACTTGAAAATAAAAAGATAAGCTGTATCAGAAGGTATTCACTCAGGACGAGTGGCTGGAGAGAGCGGTCAGTAAATCAGCTTACAATGGGGTCATTACAACACAGTTCTGTATAGTACAGTACAGGGTATTTCATTTGGAGATACTGTAGTTGTACATTCATAACAACATTATTTATTACCTTTGAGTGATACATGATGGCTCTGTTTGGCTAGTTGTGCATTTAAACAACATGTTGATGAATAAACCACTTTCAGTATTTACTAAAAGCTGATAGATACACTACAATATTTATAATTGCTAAAGACAGTTGTTTGTTGTTGTTGTAAGTGTGAGAGATGGGGATCACTGTTAACATGGTGAGGGAGGGCTAGAAAGATCAGTTGTTTGCGCTTTGTAAACAAAGAACCCGGAATTTAATACGACACAATTACTCGTCTGGTGTTAAGTGTGGGGTTCTTTTGGGGGGGAAGTTGATTATTTTACAATAATTTAATTCTCTCAACCCGGCACCGAATCCCACTGACAGAAATGCCTGCGATCTACTTCCAGACAATTTTTTGAAGATGAAATAACAAAAAATTACATTGTTTTGACTGATTACAGTGATCCCTCGGTTAACGAGATTTCGGTCAACGATTTACCTTCCATAAGATTCTTAACTTCGGTTAACGAGCAATCCCTCGATTAACGAGTTTTTTACGAGCCGACTTCAACATGTTTTCGCTTGCATTTGGCGGTCCACCAGCTGTAGTATTAGTCCGCCAATACAGTAATCGGTTTTAGGGCTTAAATTCCTTACTATTTTAGTAAATATCAAGAAGTTTATACTATTCAATAATTTTAAAAGTTTAATATTAACTTTTTTAGTCATTTTAACAATTATTGAACATAATTGAAGGTAAAGAAACTAGTTTTTTGGCGTGCCATCCAGCCTGTTAACACACCAGACAGGCGTTAGTGTCTCTGTTTTCAGTGGAGGTAACATCTTGCTTGAGAGACTCTTCAACTAAACACTTTTTTTCTGTTTCCAAGCAAATTATTGGTCATTTTGAAATTTATTTTACATATTGACAATATATAATGCAGTGCAGTGTTGATTTAAAGAAAATAATCTTGAATTACACCAAGAGAACTAAAATTTTATGGGTGAAATGGTGCCATGGGGTGACTTCTCTTCCACCCCAATGCCTTCTCTTCTCCCTTCTCCTCCACCCTCATTCTAATTCCCATCATCATCATCCAGTAGCCTTCTACATACACACCTCAAAGTAAGTGTGCTTTTCTACCTTTTTTGTTGAATTTAGGCAATTTTCGGTGAGCTGGAACCATTTACCCAAAAACCTGCTGGAACTGATTGTGCTCGTTAACCGAGGACCACTGTATATTGAATTCAAAGAGATGCAATGTTTTATTTGTTATCAACTGTTGCGTCTGGACTGAAATAAATATTGCTACCCTAGAATTAAATTTAATTAGAGGAATACACAATGGCTGAGAAAAAATGTGCTAGGCAGGTGGGCACTGACTTGAGTGTAGATTTTTTCCAGGATTAATGTTCCTCATCATTGTTGTCACCATCATTCTCTGTTATTTTTAAATTTTGCATCATTCTCATCATTGTTTTCACTTTGAACATCACTCAAATATTCAAACAAACCATAATAAGCAGGTGAGCTGTGTGGGTTGTAACTTGTCTTGCATTATTCGCAAGACAAGAAACAAAAAAAATTTTGATTAATCTACAGTTGCTCAATCTCAGCCAGGCCTGAATTTTTTCCTAGGTCGTACAGTGTTCCTGGCGACTCCTGCACCTTGTATCATACTGTGTGAATGTACAGTACAGGACATATACCTGTACAGGGGGTCCCCAGGTTATGAACGGGTTTTGTTCTTGAGGACGTTCTTAAGTTGAATTTGTATGTAAGTTGGAACACATGCTATGCGCATACAGTACTGTACTTACAGAACAATGTTTAAAATCCAACTATATCATAGCCTAAGTCCTTATATACATCTAAAATCATTAATTTAAGAGAAAAGAATAAATAGGATGACAAAATACAGTAAATGAAAGTAAAAAATAAGTCATCAGGTAAATCAAATATACTGTAAATTTCAAGTTTAACCCCGTTCATATAGTCGGATGTGCATCCCTGTACCTGTAGATGTTGTTTGTATTAGTTATATTTAGTAGTTTACCTAACTAAACTTTGATTCTACACATGTTACATATGATTTATTTTTATTTTCAAAATAAAGTTTTAAAATTAATATTCAAATTTGTGTATGTGTCAAGATAATATGATAAATAAACCTTTATAAAGTATTACTATAAACTGCTGTACTGGAAAAAATCAGAGAAATTTGACTTGAAATTTTACAAATCGCAGACAAATTAGATATTTCGGTCATTGGGCACCAAATAAAACTAAATAAGGTACACGAGCACTTTGAAATAACTTTTCCACAATTCTGTGGTTACCAAACATACAACTGTACTCTGTACTCTCGTTAATTTGGATTGTTATAGTATTTCGGATTTTGGCTTAATTCATTTTTTTTTTTTTTTTTTTTTTTCCAAAATTTAATAACACCATTTGAATTCGGAATACCGTACTGTCAATCTGAAATAACCAAGCAGTTCCGAAAAGTTTATTATTATTATAGGAATATACAGTAATATCTCCCGAAGCTGGAATCCCTCAAACCCAAAACTCTCCGATAGCAAGAATTGAAATTTTCTCGGAAAATCGTTCCCAAAACCGTAATTTTCCGTAAAATTCTGACTCTGGGAATGAATTTCCAAGAGGCACATTTTTCCGGAAAATTCCCAAACAATTTCCTAATACAGTACCCAGAAAATTCCGGGGATGTGGGGAGTTTTTTCCGGGTTTGAAAGATAAAAATCAGGCGCATTTTCTGGAAATTCCGAGAAAATATTTCCGTTACCTGGAAAATTCCAGGGATGAGAAATTTTTTTCTGGCTTTTAGTGTCGTCTTGTAACACGGAAATCTCGCATTCCCGGAAGTGCTCTGCACCAATTGTTCTAGCTAATGGGGATATTACTGTATTATGAAATCGATTAAGATGAATGAATTATAGGAATGGAACATGAATATGTGTATATTAATATTGTATAAAACTATGTTTAGTGTGTAGCCGGGGACAGGAGGTGGAAGAGGAAGGAGGGAGTGAGAAAAGACAACTCCACACCGCCTGGTCGGCAACCCGTGATCCCTTCATAATCACAGCATGCAATTTCACCATAATTCCCATATTACCGTATATAGGTTCATTTGGTGCCAGGTTATTAAAATCTTATTGAAAAATAATTAATTTTCCACCCCAAATCCCACACCCAATTCCGGATGAGCTGTTGCTCCGTAGTATATTCCTCTCTTGTTTACAGACTGGTAACAGCTGATTGTTCCTGCTCTTCCTAACAATGTTACTAGTGCTTGCCATCTCTCAACCATTGTTGTTGTCACTGCTAAAGAGGGTTTCTGCTTACCACAGGTTGTCTTGATCACTTAGTAAATAATGTTTCGTCACAATTATCAGAACATTATAAATATTATTGTAGTGTATAATGCATCTCCATATGCCCTGATCAGTTGTCAAAGTAGCCCAGTTGAGTCTTCATGTATCAATTAATTTTAAAATTGAAATTAGAAATTAAAAATGTTATAAGAATGGTTTAGTAGTGCTATGTAAGTGCCTTGTTACGTTACCTCACTTGTGCCTCGTCACCTCACCTCTCGCCTCATAACTTTACCTCTCGCCTTATCACCTCACCCCTCACATCATCAGTTTACCTCAGTGTTTCATTTATATTTATTATTGTAGTATTTACTTCATTATTACTGTGTGTACATTTAGAAAATAATTTGTTTGCACAGTAATTATAAATAGATTATTTTTTGTAGCAGCCAAGGCAAGGCGCAAAAACTGAACATAAAATGAGCAAATAATTAATCAAACACAAAAATTTGGAAATTGTTGAATTACACCAAAATATTCTGAACTTTGTTAATTAAGATTTTTCGGTAATTCGAGTGACCCAGCGGCCCCCTTTTTTTTAATTAACAAGGGTATAGTGTGTACTTACATGTATCACTTTGCAGTATGAAATAGTCATATCTGCAAAAACAGTTGTCGACAACCAGACTTGAGTCTGAAACAGTACAGATAAGCAGTGTATGAAGGAGCTACTGTACGTATATCATTGTTTCAGTGGGATTTATTAATCTGGTTTACAAACACATTTTCAGGTAGAGTACATGTATACAGTACATTCAGTTTATAACTGGGTACAGCCTGTACAATAACTTTATAAGAGCCACTTTTCTCTTTGCAGGGGCACTTATAACATGTTCCAAGGCTGGTGTGAGTGTGGAGTGGGGCAAGGACACAAGTTTAGCTTTGAGCGACACCTTCAGCGTCAATTCATCTCATGGCATTTCCAGACATGTGGCTAGAGTCAACCCTTCCCTGGATTTGTATCCTAGCCATATTCTTCACCGAACTGAGGTATGTTGTTTGTCACTAATTATCATGATCTACTGCTCAGTATTTTTAAAATGTGAATGTAAGGGCATCTGTGAGGAAGTGCAGTAGCTTTCTTTTCAGAATACAGTACAGGTATAGTAGTTAAGTTTCTATAGTGGGTATAAGGGTACAGTCCTCCTGAACCTATATAACTGTGCCCACAAAATTTGGATTTGGTTGATAAGTTATTCCAATACTGTAGCTACAATGATAATATAAATACGTAATCTAGATAATTTAATTAAATACAGAATTATTAAAATACTATAAACTGCATTGTACTGTACTGTACTGTATTCTTGTTATATTGCATGCAAATTACACAAAATGGTTTATGTACCTGTACTCATATTATTTTCAAAATAAGGTACAGTACAGGTGTACCCCAATAACTGATGCATATAGAGACCGGGAAAAGTTGTTGTTTAGTGAAACAACGGTTATCAAAGCAATTAAAAAACATAACAAATTCAGGAGGTTAGGGACTGGCCACCCTCCCAAAACTCCCATCTACCCTTGATATATCTCTGTACTGCATACTGTCAAGTAAGAAAATAAAGCAGACATATAAAGCAAGTATAATATGCCTTAAATAAGTAATGTAACGCATAAATTGTGACTGCTATTTACCTGTGTTGAGGATGGTAGAGAGGGTCTAGGGTGGCAAGTTCAAGTCTCTACCCATACTGTATTTGCTGGTCCATCACCACTCTTATTATGCCTTATCAAATCATATAAAACTGCCCAGCACAAGAGGAACTATCACTGTGGCGTTTAAGCATGATCGAGTAACACACTAAGTCAGAAATAATGAAAAAAATCAAGTCTACCATTCTTTGCTGGTCCATCACCACTCTTATTACCATATATGTCGGCGTACAAAGCCAGGGGTGTATAAGACGACCCCCGAAATTTCCATTTAAAACAGGTTTCGAGCTATACTCGCTGTATACGACTACCACAAATCTGACACTTACCACTGGGAGCTTACTGCCTCAGTAGTCCTTTACCAACCATCCCACTGACCAGTCGAGTGTTGCTATTAAACACACTGCTAAGCAACAAAGTCTGCCATAATCTGCATCAAACGTTACCAGCTGGTGTAGTGTAAACACTAGTGACGTCACTGAGGCGTTGGTTATTTTACTGGAGCTAATGTAGGTGTCGAGTAAAATTTTACCATTTACTTGAAATGGATTTACTGATTTATTTGTTTATATATTTATTTATTTATAATATACTGTAATATATTAGAAATGTAGGCATAAAATAGACTGCTGGTGTTTTGTTTAATTTATAAACTTGCTTCGCGAGACGATCGGTAGGATTGGCTGTTTGTTTAATTCGGCGGCAGTTGCAAATGGCGAGCGGTGCGTGATGATACCTGCGTTTATTATGTTGTTATATTACGGTATTTACGGGATGTTGGACAGGTTTATAATGCTGTACATTTTTATTATTTTAATATACCGTTATCTTATTTTTAATCCAGCTTCCCAAACGTAAGTTTCAGTAAAAAATAATTAGTGGTAGGACCGTGCGATTAAGGCGAGTGTTTTATGATGTTCTCCATCACCACTGGCGACACACTAAACAACAGGATGTAGAGGTTCGGATTTTATACCCGGCTTTTAAACGACCCCTAATTTTGGGCTGATTTTTTTAAGGTTCAAATTCCGACTTATACGCCGACATATACATCACATCGAGCTGCTCCTAAGAGGGGCAGCTCAAGAGGAACTGTCTCTTGGGCGTTTAGGAATGCTTGCATAACACACAAAGTCTGAAGTAACTAAAAACATGAAGTCAGAGACACATGGTAAATGTAAACAATAGCAAAGATGGTAGGAATGAGTCAGGAGCAGCGTGCAGAGCCCTGTCGTGGCAAGAATTCTCACCAAGCCACCGCCTACCAAATTCAAAACAGCCCTGCCGCTCCTCTCCCGATTATTGGATCTCCAGGTTCTCAATGAAACTTGCGGGGTATATTCCCTATACTGTATATCATCATTGGTTGTGTGAAGTTGAGGTTATTGGGGCGTCTGTTTTTGGGGTACGTATACTTGTGTGTCTTTTAACTACAGTATTGTACATTATTTGGAAGAGAGTGTTGGATTTTTTCTTATATGAAGGTTCCCAGTATCAGACATCAAAACACAGGATCTGTAAAAAGTGCAAATTTCTTTTGGATTGTGAGACAAGTTGTAAAAAAAAATAAAAAATTGTGTGATCATTTTGATAGTTGGATAATTTGATATTTCTTGATAATTTGATGGATCTAGAACCCCAACGATATCAAATTAGCAAGAGTTCAGTGCATGTCATTCAGTATTGTGTTAGTTCATCTGTTAGGGAAGTTTCTCTATTTCACAGGTGAGCAAATTACACCATACTGTTGATTAATGAGAGACAAACATAACTTTGGGACAAAGCCATCATGTTTTAACCATTGGTGATGACAGCAACTGAAACTGTTACTGATAATGTGGTCTTTGTAATAGGCAGTCCCTGAGTTACGAACGCTCAACTTACAATCACCTGCATACAGGTATACAAACGGGATGCTTTTTATTTTCATTAAAAAAAATATGTAACTAAAATCACATTTTTTACATTACTTTCATTATCATGTACAGTACATATTGTTGAACCTCAATTTTTTAACAGTATTTACATTATTTGTGAGGAATGGGATATTATTGTTGTTTTGTATGGGCAGGGTTGTGCTTTAACCTAGCCTAACCTATGAAATTAACACTGTTCTGACCTTCGAATAGATCAATGTATAAATAGGGTCCAGGAACGTAACCCAGGAACTGCCTAGTCTAGATCAGTGATTCTGAACCAGTGATACATGAGATAAAGTTTGAAGAGCCAAAGGTATAATGGGTATACTGTATACATTTTTCTTAATGATGTACAGTACTTAGTTTATTAAAGAAATAGAGAAATGAGTCAGTCACTATTGAGAGGGGGTATTTGCATGACATTTCACACCCAAGTGATAAAAAAAGGTTCAAAACCACTGGTTTATGTTAACTGCTTTATGCTCTATATAAGTTGGAATATTTTTTTGACCCGATGTAAATATTTTTATTAATTGATGCCAACTTATATTCGTAACTTATATGGAAGTGTGCCGTACCTTACTGGATTTTTAAATCTGTTATTTAATACCAACATTGATTTTAGATATGCTAATATTTGCTTTGCTTATGAACACTACCTTCAGTGCTCATGGCTCAGTTATATTTGTTAGTGATACTTTTAAATTTTTCAGGTGGATCATTGGTTGTCCACAGCATCAGGACCTTTGTCATGTGGTGGAGACATCAGTGCCACTCTTGAACAGCTAAATAGGGCTCTTGCTCCCTCAGATGAACTAGTGGGAAATCACATAACTGTTGCAGACTTTGAAGTGTTTGCAGCTCTTTACAGTAAGTGTTGAATATTGTACAAGTTGAATTATATGATGTTGACAGCATGCAAAGTAAAGGTAAATATGACAAATTTAGCTAAGTTACAGGCAACCACTTGTGTTCATTTGTATTAAGAATTTATTATACTCATAATTGTGCACCCCACAGCCTCACACTCCCAACAATTTCTCTTGTGTACAGTAGTGTGCAAGTCCATGTCATTGTGACCTGGGGTGGTCAGCAAGGTGAAACTATGAAAAGTTTCTTTTAACCATTTGCTTGTGTTTACTCAGCTGTACTTGGGGAAACCAGATATTATTCGATTAGCAGATTGTGTTCCAGGGTATTGGTTAGCCAGTGCAATTGGCAAGTGTTCTGGTCTTCATGGGTTATTCCTAGACCCTGATTCAGAGCTTGTGAAATCTGGGTGTGGTTTGAGTTGGCAACAGCTTCTACACTTTAAACAAATTCATTCCTGGATGTCTTTAGGGCTGATACTCCTTGAGCACAGGGGGCAACCATTATAATTGTACTTCATATTAGATAACAAGTAGGATAATGCATGTATAAAATGTAGATTGGTCTAGTATAGAAATTATTTTTTGTTGTTCATTTATGGCACAAGAGACTGGCTGGCAATTTGCTTAAAATCAGATGTTTTCTCTACAATTATTATTGATCAATCACTCACCCCATATATAGTCCATATATGTTGGACAATCTAATTAAGATGTATTTTCTGGTGTCTTTTTAAAGTTTTAATAAATTTATTCCCCCATATGTTGCATATCTATTCCCCTTTGTTACTTAATAGGTTTTTAATATTTGAGGAAATGTTGCGTCTTTGTGACTTTACACTCAAGCAACTCACTCTCAGGGTGTAGTCCTTCAGGCTACCCTATCACTATATGCCTCTTTTGTCCTATATGTCTTTCCCTGTTTTCTCCTTATTGTACTGTTCTGCCATTCTCCCCTTGATGTTCTCCCAGTTTTCTCCATGATGTTGATGGTCTCCCTTACATATCACCAGTATAAATATAGACTACTATGTTTCAGAAAATGCAGCATGGCATATGCGACTGAACAGTGGAACAGCCCCGGTGAATGTTCTTCGTTGGTACAACTTCATTGAGAAACAGGTACTGTTTTGTATCTTACATTTGTGTATTCTCTTTAATATTTGTAATAATTATAATCATGAAGCTCAAGAATTTATTGTTAAATAGTTGAAAATTTTCAGTTATGTTATTATTCAGTGTTATACGGTAATATCTCCATTAGCCGGAATCACTTAAACCCAGAACTCTCTGACAGCTGGAATCACTTAAACCCGGAACTCTCTGATAGCTGGAATCACTTAAACCTGGAACACTCTGATAGCTGGAATCACTTAAACCCAGAACTCTCCAATAGCTGGAATTGAAATTGGCTTGGAAAATGATTCCCAAAGCTGGAATTTTCCAAAAATTCTGGTGTTGGGAAAATTTTTCCAAGGTTGAAAATTGATTGCATTTTCAGAAAATGTCTTGAATAAAGACAAAAGCTAAAGTATTTTGGGGAGGACCTGACCTGACTCAATGTTAGGTGGAGGTAGGGTAGGGGATTAGTGGTCTCATATTACTGACCTTATGATGGAATGTCAGGCCACCCTATCGTGGGTGGGGGATTAGTGGTTCTCATGACCTGAAGATGTCTTGAATACAGACAAAACCTAAAGTGTTTTTAGGGAGATTGTGATATTTATAAGTATTATTATGACCCTCCTTTTTCGCCGCTTACCCAGCTTCCACCACTGGTTACCAGCGGCTAGGGTCGTATGTACAGAAGCAGTGGATACCTCACAAGTTTTGTCGAATTACCACTGGCTGTCCCGCCAGTCCCTGGTAATTTCCTGATGATTGGTATCAGTGTACAGACACACAACAGCCAGGTAGATTTCCACCAGGTCACAGAAACACACTTGTGCACTGTAGTCTTCTTTAACAAGCACTGATTCTTCAGAACACTATTAACAGGGTAATGGCTTAACAGCTTGACTTCTCACATCAAAAATATACTATAGTTGGCACACTACCAGTACAATTCCTTTGTCTTTTCACTTTATATTGTTCACAACAATTCCACAATACTTGCACAACAATTTTCTTCAGTTGTTCCACTAGGCTTATTCTTTACACTCTGAGTGGAAGCGATCGGCTGACTCAAGACCGCTCGCTGCCGCTTATATACTGTATGTCTTGTCAGATGCCTAGAGCATTCTAGCGATGTCCAGACGTGTGTGTTGCAGTTTCCAGTTACCTCTCGTAGCACTAATTAAGAGGTGAACTGGAAGCAACATTCATAAATGTTTATGGGTTAAGTTATCAAACCCAAATGGTCTTTTCTCCATTTATTCAGAAGTAAACTATTGCACAATAACTGGGATATCACTGTAATTAAGTCTATGAGCGGTGAGCGTTAATAATATGAAGCTTGGGTATATCTAGCTTCTTGGAGCACACGTCTCAGTGGTTCACAGACTGGAGTAGAACTGGCGATAGCCGGCTGCTTAATTGATAACTCTGCGGTCAAGGTGTGAGGGAACAGTGGGAATACACTGTCACATGTCCACTTGATGACTACTCACTGTTCATAGGAAATTTACTGTGGGTGATGTAATTATATAAACCTGATGTATGTAACCCACATTTATATAAGTATTACTGTCTGTTAGACGGGCTAATACATGGGAGGTCGGCTCGAGACATGCCTGGAGAATTCTAGATTGATCTAGGCTTACAATAAGAAGTAAATCATAACAAAAATGATGCAATACATTCAAGAATATTCTTATATAATTAATACATTTATATACAGTATACATGAAAATTTCACTAAATTTGTCAAAATAACTGCTGCTTGGGACAGAAAACAATCAAAACACCTACTGTACTGTCAGGTGTTATGGTTTGTTTTTCAACTCGTATTTTCGGGTCGATATACTTAACTTTCTTCATTTATTTATACTCAGTTACATGCACGCACTACCCTACATACAGTACACGTTGTGAAAAAGTAAAAGAAATAATTTTCCTAAGGGCAAACACGTAATGGGAGGAGAGCGCAGAGTGTGGGGGGGGCATTGCTAGGGAATCTGCGTGTCAGCTGATCTTTGTAACTATGGTGAAGCAGGGAGCGTGTGCAAATAGCGACTGTGTTAATCTTTCATTTGGCTTTTATTTACTCGTTTAGCAATAGTATTTTTTGTTGTAACTTATTTATTTGTATTATTTTTATTTATTCCTCACAAAAAAGAAAAAAGTAGGATAAAATTTGTCCTTCGATTGAAATGTCCAAAAAATTTCAAGGGACCAAGGTGCAGGACACAGGTCCCCGAGAGTTATCAATTGTTGTTTTTAGGAATATTATTTCACTCACTCTATTAATGATACATTGTTTCTTATTATGTTATTGTAGGTAAATGCATAGTTTATATAATTTGTTTATCACTGCCTGTCACCATTTTCAGATTAAACTATAAGATATGTATTTCTTTTATATGCACTGTATTTCGATCATACGCCTGGTAACAGGAGCCTGGGAGTGAGTGAGTGAGTGACCCTAGTTAGAGCGTTTTCTGCAGTTGTAACTCCCTCCCTCTCTTCCATATTTCACTGGATTTACTGTTATCATTAGTGCTTACTGATATAATAGTGATTAATCATGGCATTGTAGCCAGGTTAAACTCGTCACTGTAACCACCAGGCTACTGGGCCAAGCTGTGAGGTGTTATGGTTGTTTTTCAACTCGTATTTTTGGGTCGATGTACGTAACTTTTTTCATTTATTTTTACTCGGTTACATGCACACACCATCCTACATACATATTGTGAAAAGGGTAAAAGAAATAATTGTCCTAAAGGCAAACACGTAATGGGAGGAAAGCGCAGAGTGTAGAGGTTAGGGGAGCGTTGCTTGGAAAACAGCGTCCCAGCTGATCTTCGTTACTATCGTGAAACGGAGTACAGTAGGATCGGGATATACTGTATAGCGAATTTATATCAAGATTTTTTTTATATTGTGGTTTAAAAATTATCGACATTTTCCTATATATAGCGATATTTTTTTATTTTGCGAGGGAAATCGGGCAGGAAATATTTAAAATTTATCACGACTACCAAAATTATCGACATTTTCTAATTTATAGCGATAAATTTATTTACAGTAGACTCGCAACTTACGTTGGGTTATGTTCTTTGGACCTCTCAAAAAGCAAAAAACCGTATAGAGTCAGAAACACTCCTAAAAATCCCCCCAAAAATACGGGTTGAAAAACTGTACAGTACTTTAATGTACTCTAAAAGACTAAAAAATATTTATCTCTTGTGCAAAATATATGATGTCTATATTCAAATTATTTGCTGTCTTGCAAGGATTCCAGCAATGCAATTTATATTCTGCTAACTTTAGTGTATGACATTTTATAAGATAAAAACTTTAAGTCTAAAACCACTTTCAATCTTGCCGGAAGTGGAGGGGGAATTGATGTACAGTATTATGACAGCTGGCCTAGCTGCCAGCTAAGGTTACCTAATGATATTTATTATCTGTCATATGGGGGAGTTTAGGTTTTCTTATAAAATATGAATTGACGTAAGAGAATATAATTAACATTGCTGGAATTCTTGTAAGATAGTGATTAATTTGAATACAAACATGCTTTAGTTTTCACTAGGCAAAATTTTTAGCATATTTCTACTTTATAGTACAAAGGACTAAAATTTTTATCTCGTGCAAAATATATGATGTCTCTATTCAAATTATTCACTGTCTTACAAGGATTCCAGCAATGCTATTTATATACCTGCTAACTTTAGACTGCCATATTATGTCAAGTTTATTCACCTTTATTGGCCTCCAGAACCTAACCCTATTTGATTACATGAAATTATATATCGTAATTTAGTATATAGTGAACATCCTTGGACCCTATCTCGTGATATATCCTGACCCTACTGTATATGCAAATGGTGACTGCTAAACTTTCATTTGGCTTTTGTTTACTGATTTGGCAATACTGTATTTGTAGTTGGTATTATTTTTATTTATTCCTCCCATTTCCTGGTACTTCATATATTATTTTAAGAAAACTATGGCTACAGGAACAAGATACACAAAAGTTTTTATCTAAATATTCCCTGCTGTAAAATACGGTACTGTATTTTTGGTTTTACTGTATTGACACCAAACTTCTATATAAATGATGTGTGTGTATGTGGTCATATTGAGGGGGGGGGCTCACTTTCCACCCACCCACACCCATGTTCTTTATTTGTTCTTATTTTATTGTTTTTTATTATATTATCTTTATTTCCAAGTCACATTAGAGTACATTCTAATGATTTTTCTACAAATTTTATAGCATTAATGCTCCTGAAGTGGTTATGAAACATGGCACAGTGTGTGTCTACTGTGATGTATATGATGTCACGGGATGCGGCTGGAGTGGCAAGTTGGCCACTCCACACACTTTCACTTTCCACACAAAGACCCATGTTCCTCATATGTCTTAGTTTATAGTTTAATATTATATTATTTTTATTTCTAACCCACATTAGAGTATTGTAATGATTTTTCCACAACTTTTATAGCATTACTGTTGACTTTTAGTAGTTGTGGAACGTATCCTAATTTTCCCTATAAGATTAAGTAATGCACATTCGGGACCCGGTTCATCTGGACACCCTCTCTCCCCAATTGTCCGGAAGTGTGAGGGTTTACTGTATTTTCAATCGTACTTTTGAAAAAATTGAGATTGGTAAAATGGTACAAAAATTTTAACCACATCTTTTATTTTTAAATTAAATCATGTATATACAGTACTCTATTTTTTAATGGTTAGTAAGTCAATGAGGATTTTTTTTTGTAGGTTGGTGGAGTCATTGCAGCACTTCCAGGTGATGTTCAGAAGGTGTTTGAGTGTTCCAAAACAACTCCCGCCTCACCGGACAAGTCAGCAAGTGGTAGTAAGAAGAAAGAAGAAGGAGGAAAGTTTGTTGAGCTTCCTGGAGCCAAGTTAGGGGAGGTGGTTGTTCGTTTCCCCCCGGAGGCCAGTGGATATTTGCACATAGGTCATGCTAAGGCAGCTCTCCTCAACCAGTACTATCAGCTTGCATTTAAGGTGAAGATATTTCTTACATTTTGTAAATTTTTTATTTCGGCATTCATTTTTCATTTCTCAGACATAACAATCATTGTTATGAATGATATTTCCCATTCTATGATTCTTACTTGAAGCTTTCTTAATTTGTAAAATATATGTAGTGATTATCACCAAAATAGTACATGGTGAATTTTAAACAATAATTTGTTATATATTTTCAGGGGAAGTTGATAATGAGGTTTGATGATACCAACCCTGAGAAAGAGAAGCTGGATTATGAGAAAGTTATCCTGGAGGATTTGAAACTACTGGAGATAAAACCAAACATTTTCACCCATACTTCAGATCACTTTGATCGTATGATTACCATGTGTGAGCAGCTCATCAGGCAGGGTTTAGCATACTGTGATGATACTGATGGGGAGACTATGAAGAAAGAACGGGAAGAGAGGAAAGAAAGCAAGAATTACAACAACTCTGCAGAAAAGAATTTATCTATGTGGGAAGAGATGAAGAGAGGGACAGATTATGGTCTCACTTGTTGTGTGCGGGCTAGGATTAACATGAAGAGCGACAATGGTTGCATGCGTGACCCCACAATCTATAGATGCAAGAATGAACCCCATGTCAGGACAGGCTTGAAGTACAAAGTATACCCAACCTATGACTTTGCCTGCCCCATCGTAGATAGTATAGAAGGGGTCACCCACGCTCTGAGAACAACTGAATATCATGACCGTGATGAGCAATACTACTGGTTCATAGAGAAGCTTGGACTAAGAACTCTTCACATCTATGAATACTCACGCCTGAATATGAACAACACTGTGTTGTCCAAGCGAAAACTTACATGGTTTGTCGATGAAGGACTTGTGGATGGTTGGGATGATCCAAGATTTCCAACCGTCAGGGGAATTCTGAGACGTGGTATGTCTGTGGAAGGATTAAAGGACTTCATTGTTGCACAAGGTTCATCTCGTTCTGTAGTGAACATGGAGTGGGACAAAATTTGGGCCTTCAACAAAAAAGTAATTGATCGTTATGCCCCACGCTATACAGCTCTGCAAGGTGAATTAGTGCCTGTTCACATCACTGATGTCAACGAGGAGTCCACTTCTGCTCAGAAACATCCAAAGGATCTCTCTATTGGCATGAAAACTGTGTGGACTGGCCCTCAAGTCTTGGTTGAGGCTGCAGATGCTGCTGAGTTGAAAGAAGGACAGAATGCAACTTTCATCAATTGGGGAAATATTATGATTAAGAAAATAACAAAGACAAATGGAAAAATTGTGTCAATTGATGCTGAACCTAACCTTCAGAACACTGATTACAAGAAAACCCTTAAACTTACTTGGCTTGCTGATACTGAGAAAGCTGCCACCACGCCTGTTGTGTGTGTTTACTTTGATCACCTTGTTACTAAAAGTGTGCTTGGAAAAGATGAAAACTTTAAGGACTTCATAGGACACAATACCCGTGCTGAAGTGAAAATGGTAGGCGAGACTGAACTTCAGAAGCTGGTGCCAGGAGATATTATACAGCTGCAGAGGAAGGGCTTCTTCCGTGTGGATGAGGCTTACAAACCAGTGAGCTTGAGCAGCTGCCAGGAAAGTCCAGTTATACTCTTCTCTATCCCAGATGGACACTCCAAGGATATGCCAACTGCTTCATCCATAAAGAAGTTGGCAGGCATGAGTGAGAAAGAGAAAGTCAAAAGTGCTCAAGGAAAAAAGGCAGAAAAGAGTCCACAGGATGAAGTGAAGCCTCCTGTTGGGGGATCTAGTGCAGACACAGGTCAGAGTTTATTAATTGCCATCAAAGATCGGGGTGATAAGATAAGGCAGTTAAAGAGTACTAAGGCAGATAAGAATGTAGTTATGGCTGAAGTGGAGATTTTGAAACAATTGAAGAAGGATTTCCAAGATGCAACAGGAATTGAGTGGAAGCCAGATGTTGTCATACCTTCCAGTGCTCCAGTTTTGGCAGCTACTGCATCTGTTGCTGGTAAGAACGCTGTGGAAATACACTCCCAGATTAAATCACAGGGTGACATAGTTCGAAACCTGAAGGCCAGTAAGGCTGACAAAGATGCCATTAAACAAGCAGTTGATTTGCTTTTAGAGCTTAAAAATGAGTTCAAAACTGCCACTAATGTTGATTGGAAACCAGATATTGAAATATCAAAGTTTGATAGTGTTGCCCCTGCTCCTGCTGCCTCCACTGGTGGGAGTGGAAGTGCACCTCTTGATCTGCACAACAAAATTAAAGACCAAGGTGACAAGGTAAGGTCTTTAAAGGCCAGTAAAGCAGACAAGGATGTTGTGAAGCAAGAAGTTGATGTACTTCTGTCACTGAAAAAAGAATTTAAGGAAGTTACTAATTCTGAATGGAAACCTGAAATTGATATATCCCAGTTCAGCTCATCATCTAATGCATCTGGTTCTAGTGGAGCAAGTTCAGCTAAAGCTATTGATTTGCATAGCCAGATAAAGAAACAAGGGGATTCTGTAAGAACACTGAAAGCAAACAAGGCTGATAAAGATACCATTAAACAGATGGTTGACCAACTCCTGTCTCTAAAGAAACAGTTTAAAGAATGTACAAGTACTGAATGGAAGCCTGATATTGATGCGTCTCAGTTTTCAGAAGATGTGGTTGCACCTTCAAGGGGTATGATGACTGCTCCTGCTGAAGTAAATGCTGCAGCTAAAGCTAAAAGTACAGAGACTAGGAAACCAAAGGAAACATCACTCACGAAGAGTACAATACAGGTACCTACCAAATCTGATGATGGAGGAATGAAGAAGCAGACAAGATTGGGACTAGAAGTCAGAAAGGAACAGAATCTTGCTGAATGGTATTCACAAGTCATAACAAAGTCAGAAATGATTGAGTACTACAACGTGTCGGGCTGCTACATCCTTAGGCCATGGTCTTATGCCATTTGGGACTATATAAAGGATTTCCTGGATAAAAAGATTAAGACCTTGGGTGTTGAAAATTCTTACTTCCCAATCTTTGTAGCACGAGAAGCCTTGGAGAAGGAAAAGACTCACATTGCAGACTTCTCACCAGAGGTTGCCTGGGTAACCAGATCAGGATCAAGTGAGATGGCTGAGCCTGTTGCTATTCGTCCTACATCAGAGACTGTTATGTACCCTGCAATTGCTAAGTGGGTTCAATCCCACCGAGATTTACCAATGAAACTTAATCAATGGAATAATGTTGTTAGGTGGGAGTTCAAACAACCCACTCCATTTTTAAGGACACGTGAATTTTTGTGGCAAGAAGGTCACTCTGCTTTTGCTTCCAAGGCAGAAGCTGAAGAGGAAGTTTATCAAATCCTAGAGTTCTATGCTCAGGTCTATGAGGAGCTCTTGGCTGTGCCAGTTGTTAAAGGTAAGAAGACTGAAAAGGAAAAGTTTGCAGGGGCTGATTTTACCACAACAACTGAGGCTTTTATATCAGCCAGTGGTCGTGGCATTCAGGGAGCTACATCCCATCACTTGGGGCAGAACTTTTCAAAAATGTTTGAAATTGTCTTTGAAGAACCTGAGACCCAGCAAAAGCAGTATTGCTTCCAAAATAGTTGGGGATTAACTACGCGTACTATTGGAGTAATGGTGATGGTTCATGGTGACAACAAAGGGCTTGTGTTGCCTCCTAGAGTGGCTTCTGTGCAGGCAGTTATTATGCCTGTTGGAATTTCTGCAAAATCATCAGAGCAGGAAAAGCAGAATCTTACTGATGCATGCAATAAGTTAGCAGCCGATTTGAATGCTGCTGGAGTGCGAACACGGTGTGATCTACGAGACAATGTTACTCCAGCCTGGAAATTCAATCATTGGGAGTTGAAGGGTGTTCCCCTAAGGTTAGAGCTTGGACCACGTGAGGTGACTGCTGGCCAGGTATTTGTTGTACGGCGTGACAATGGAGAGAAACAAGCTCTAAATCGGGCCACTGTAGGAGTGCAAGTTCTGGCCATGTTGGATGCTATTCATGACAACCTAATAACACGAGCACGAGCTGACCTGAATTCACACAAAGTAAAAGTTAACAGTTGGAAGGACTTCACAGGAAACTTGGACAAAGGTAATATCCTCTTGGCTCCATTCTGTGGCCAAGAAGAATGTGAGGATGCCATCAAGAAGGACTCTGCACGTGATGAAGCTGCTGAGCCAGGGGCTCCCTCTATGGGGGCAAAGGGCTTATGTATACCTTTTGAGCAGCCTGGGGAAGTCAACGGTTTAACATGTATCCACCCATCATGCAAGGCCAAACCACTGTACTACACTCTCTTTGGTCGGTCTTACTAAACTGTAAGGTGGCAGTGCAGTTCATATTCATTTTGCTAACAAGTTTAGTTTATTTTATTTAGGAAATGATAATGTGTATCATTGAGTACATTTCATATATTTTTTTTTGTAAAAATACTCAATAAACATTTATATTGTATTATGACCCAATAAATCATATGATGCAATTAGCGAGGTGTAATTTTCACCATTTTAATTATTCATCTTGTTGACAACATTTTTGGTGTATTTTGACAATCCAAATTGAATGTCATCATTCATTTGTGAAATATCTTTCGGTGTGCTCTTGTAGGAAATGGTGATGAATTAAGAGGTGAAACTTGTGGAGACTCGTTTTAAGTAGAGATGCACAGATTAATTAATTTTACTATCTGGCAGGACACCTGATTTGCCAGATAGTTTAAATGATCCAGAAGGATAATATAGTTTGTTGATTTCTCTATGAATAGGCTGGGCTAACTGCATGCATACACTGGCACTCCTACAACAGTCGAACATCATAGGTAGCATCCACTTACATGACTATTTGTCTCTATATATTTTTATCCACGAAATAAATTGTCCACAAGATCATACTGCCAACAATATCTCCTCCATCAACATCCAAAAGTGATGCTCTGCAACAGCCACATATGTTACCTGTTTGACTTGGGCTCTCTCTCTCTCTTCCCATATGTAACCATGAAATTCATGTTTGTCAACACTGAGAGGTGCCAAATGGGAAAAGGTTTTGTGGAGGCACTGCAACACTAAGTAGTGTCCCTAGGGAGGAGGGATCATACGTCACCAGAAAAATTAGAAAAAATGCACTTTATATGAGGCATAACGCATTAGAAGGGGGTGAAGCGCCAAATTAAAAAAGCTGAGAAAATCACGTTTAAAGTTTTTCTAAGTTCAAACAACCATAACGTTTTTGTTTTTTTAAGCTAAGAGGGCTCATTTTTTTTTCATCATGCAGCTCAATCCCTCTCCTAGCGAACTGTGAAAACTGGAAGTTAGTACTGTGAATAGTTATTACATGTATTTTATCGGGAGTTGAATGAAAATATCAACCGTGATGTACAGTTGTTTGATCTTCAAACCGACAATACAGTTAACCCTCACTTTACGCGGTTAATGTAACCCGGAGGGTCCCGCGTAAAGTGAGAAACGCGTAAAGTGAATAACATAACATATGGGATTAATTGAAATGGAGTCCGGGCCTATCCCCAAACTCCACTTTTTGACGACACACAACTATGTTGTAGTAAAAATATTATCTTAACTTTATGATGGTATGCACACACAATTAATAATTAAGAGAAATATCAATAATATTAGGTTTTTCAACACTTACATTAGTAGAAAAAATGGCTGGGCACACGGGGATGGGCGGTTGGTTCCGAGGCAGAGGGCAGATTATTGGCCCTCACCTGTGTCACTTGTATCAATTGTATCACTATCCACCACAGAGGCTTGCAGGGCCTCTTTGTCAAACTCCCCAAAGTCCATATAAGTCCATATCCTCACCATAATTATCACTATCACTGACTTGGGCCGGCTGTGGTGGGTGGCGGGTGAAGAACTGGTAATGTTTTGATGACTGGGCGACCTTGTGCGCACCATGTTCGCGCCGCTTACACAACATGGCGGATGGCGGGAGGTTTGGATCCAAAAATGGCGCGGCTCGCCAGCCGCTCTCCGCGTAAAGGGGTACACGCACCGCGGAATGTGAGCATCCTGGGTTCCGGCAGGGCACCGCGTAAACGTGGAAACGCGGAATGTGGGACCGCGTAAAGTGAGGGTTAACTGTAATCATATTTTTTTGCAAAACTTTCTAATTATTGTGGGCTAATACTGTAAAACAAGTTAACGATCACCCAAAACAGCACTTCTTACAATCAACCCCCATAAACCTCCCCCAAAATCATTTGCCTATCAGTATTTATCTTTCCATCCTAATATTAGCCAAAGACTTATAATAGTGTTACATATAATAGTGTAAATAAAAAGGAAACGCCACTTCACTCATACCCCCACCATTAACCTCTTCCTTCCCACCCCGCCCCACATAATTAACATACAAATACAAAAGCAGAGAAAGTTTGCATAATCTTTGGTAAAAACAATATTATGAGAATAGTATTACAATCTTACTTTGTTTAGTTCCTTCGTTTTATTATCCCTGATGATCGTAGTAACTTGAAGTTACGTAAATCCTGAGGAGTGCGTATAACTTCAATGGCCTCATCATAATCAATCACGTACTGATCATTGTCTTTCTCTGCATACACTAACAATCACCACACAGATTCTTCATCAACTAAATCATTGTTTATTGATGCCGGCAACAGTTCAGTTTCATTATAAGACTGAGTTATGGACTCATTTTCGCTGGCATTCCTTGAGTCAGGCTCACTTTCATCACTATTAAGGTCAATGCATGTTTCGTCACTCCGCTTCTACCTCCTCGTAGTCTGTATGTTCTTGTGATACATTAGTGTCACTGTTTGTGTTACCATTAGACTCACTTTCATCATTTTCATCTTCACTTTCATAGTCATTATTGCTGTCAGTGCATGTCACGTAACTCTGTACCGGAACACAGTCTGCCAAAAGGTCTTGTGATGCATAGCAGTCACTTTTTGTATTATGAGTACGTATACCAAAATCACTATCGCCAAGCATTCCTGGGGTGTCCACGTGAGCACTGTCGTCACTAAACACAAACTCAGGAATAATAGACTCCTGAACACACACCAGAAGGCCAGGCCTCACTCGAGTCTTGCTCTAATATCGGGCAGATATTGCACAGCACTTCTCACACCTGTGGAACACGAATAACATCAACGTTATGCCGAAAAATTATAAAAAATAGCAGTAGAAAGTACACTGAACCTCCTAATGCTATACAATGCGCCAAAACTAACAATGAGGCAGCATCTGGGCACGAGGATTGGCCGAGGATCTGTGACGTAGCAAGGAGAAATCCATTGTGATTGGCTGCTTCAGAGGGTATGGTCCAAGGGAGGTGCGCTGTCATTGGCTCACACTCCTCTCGCTCTGAATGACATGTTGCCACCTTCTTTGAGCGCACAGCCAGATACGTAGCTCCAGGCCTGAGGCGAAAGCACACCTTTTTAATAATGACGCTACCATATTTCTATTCTAACTAGAGGGTTACATCTAATACCAACATATAGAGGGAGGGTGAAAATAGTGATAACCATCTAAAAACGCATTTTGGCTGGGGTGTCGCTTCACCCCCTTCTAATGCTGAGCGCCTCGTATACAGTATTCTGAGGAATTTAAGACCTTTATTTACATTTACAAGATTGAAATGATGTTTTTATTTATCATTTACAGTTGGCTTATATACTAGGGAATCACAATCATCTGCCAATATTCTTATGCATTTTTATTGTATGAATTGAAAAAAACCCACATCCTAATTAATTTTTATTCTGACACTTGTATTTGCAGATGCCTATTCCGGTTTCACCTATGTGCTGATAAGTTGCAATTTGGAATTTCACTATTAATGCTTTTTTTATGATTTCACTGCCAATGAATATTTACTAAATTGTGATCACAGGAATATAGTATACTATTTCGATAGGTAATACTGTACTCATGTATGAGCAGTATCAGAACTGTGTGACTTCAGCTAGAAATGACATATTTATGAGGGGGGGGTGGGGGGGAGATAAAACGCCCCAAAATTTTAACAACAATTCTACAGTCACGAATTATGATTGTGTTGTGAATTTTCCATAACTAAGCATTTATGGCTAAATATGGATTAAGGTTAAACAGTTATTGTACAAATATATTAACCTTAATGTTTTGATGAGAAAAAATATATATATAAAACACATTAGATACCTGTAAAAACTTTATTTATCTACTAATGTTTTTTGTCAATAAAAGGTAGTAAATAAGTAGATGATGAAAGTAAATATAAAATGTTATGTGAACCTGTCTTATTATGTCAGTGTTTGATGCAACTACTACTGTATAGTAACAGAACTACTGGTGGTGGCTTGCTAGGCAGTTTTGTCAGATGGTAAAGGCCTGTGGTAAATAGGTGAGTGGCGGGAAAAGCTATTGTTATAGACGGACCTTGGGATATGACTGATTCCTCTTCTGATCATTCGTTTGTGAACAGTTGTCCAAAACCAGGTGGGTGGTGTGGTTCATAGTGAGGATACAAACTGATGTTACGAGGGCACTTTCAAGTGTTAACTTGCTCGGGAATAAATAATTAGAATTGATCTAAGGCGAAGTACCCTAACATATTAGTGACAGGATTGGATGTGGTATATAGTGAATTATTCCAAGATAAGTATGTGTGTAATGAATGGTGAGTTTAAGTTCTTAATATTTTGTTAAAT